GTGCCAGAGTTACGTTGCGCTGGTGCAAAGCAACCGGAAGCCAACTCCGCATTTGGCCAAGCCTCAGAGACTGTGAAGACTGGTCAGCCACTTATCTGGATGATGTCGTAATCTACAGTACGACTTGGGAAGACCATCTTCTGCACCTTGAAAAGACCCTGAGCAAGATCCAAGAGGCTGGCCTGACCTTAAAGGTGGGGTAAGCGATTTCTGGTAGCCAATGTTCACATTTGAAATCACCAAAACAAACACGCCCCTACCCCAAAAGGGTCTTGCCCCTATTTTGATAGCTCCGCCCCGCACATACGTACGCAACCCAGGCAACGATTAGTTCTGTGAAACAAAGCTCATTCTGCGACATTCTGCTCATTCAAAGACAAAGCTCTCTCCTACACATCATGAGTAGACACGCCCCTTACTGCTGATTGGCTACAAGTTTGTTTTGCTAGTCGGCCAGTATCAGTTTTCTAAAGCGTTTTTGGAAAATCGCTTACCCCACCTTTAAACGTGGCTAAATGTGAGTGGGCTAAATCTGAGACCAATTACCTTGGCTACCACCTTGGAAATGGGGAGCTGAGACCTCAAGTGGACAAGATGGAAGCAGTTCAACACAGTCCAAGACAGAGAACTAAGAAACAGGTCCGGTCTTTCTTGGGGCTGGTGGGATGGTATCGACACTTCATTCCCAACTTCTTCACCACTGCTGTCCCACTAACCAACCTGCTCTACAAAAGTGTGAAGAACCCTATTACCTGGACTAAGGAGTGTGAAGCAGCCTTTAACATCTTAAAGAAACAGATGTGTTCAGGCCCAGTCCTCAAGAGTCCAGACTTCACTAAGGAGTTTTTTGTGCAGGTGGATGCTTCTGCTGTGGGGATTGGAGCAGTCCTGGCCCAGGGAGATGCGGGTGAAGAAAGGCCTATTGCTTACCTGAGCAGGAAGTTGCTGCCAAGAGAGACTCGATACTCCACAGTGGAAAAGGAAGGCCTGGCAATCAAGTGGGCATTGGAGAGCCTCAGGTACTACCTGCTGGGAAGGGAGTTTATCCTTGAAACAGATCACAGAGCCCTGACATGGATCCACACAATGAAGGATCACAACTCTCGTGTGACCAGATGGTATCTTTCCCTGCAACCATACCAATTCAAAGTTCAACATCGACCTGGCCCCCAGAATAAGACAGCTGACTACATGTCTCGGTACCCGGTCAGTTCGCGGCCTGGAGAGGGGGGAGGTGATGTGACAAAGTTACCGGTCCTTGTCGGTTAGCACAGCACATTTACACCGCATCTTACTTCACTCCTCCTCTGTAATTCCCTGCTGAGGCGATGTGGGTGCACACGCACGCCATTAGCATGCTGTTTTCACATACACGCAAATATATCCACTCCATCCCTGACAGTGATCCAAGCTGCGCATAACCACACACACACACACATATATATTTTGAAGTTGTCCTTTGTTTTTTTTGGTTTTGTTTTGTGTTGTAAATACTTACCTGTGTTCAGTGTTTGTTTGTGTCTGTGTAGTCGGTCTTTCACGTTGCTCTCCTTCCATCGGTCGGCCAACCCGAGCGCCACCCAGCGGCCTGGCTATAAAGTGGCGACTCGTCCATTGTTTGTCTTAAAGGGGAAATAGGAAATGTTGCGTTGTTGTTGTAATCTGTTTATTTCTGTTATTTTTGTATATATTCATTTATTTTCAAGTGTGAAAACATGTAAACATGGAGTGGATGTTATATTTATATGTATATTCATGAGTTGTTGTAAATATGTACATACTTACCCTTTTATACTTACCTCTTTATTTGGTCAACCTGGTTTAATCCGAGGGGGCGGGGCTTGGGCTATAAAAGAAAGCCCCAAACCAGCATGCAATGGTCAGTTTACCTAGCGAGCAAGCATGCAACTCTGGTGCCGTGAGCAATTCCCTACAACAAAGTTTGCATGTATATATTTATCTGTTTGTTTTGGTCTTTTTGTAGTGTTTTCTTTGGTACTTTGTATATAGCTTTGGTTGTTATGGCTGTCAAAATGGCTGAAAAACTAAATTCCAATTTTGTACTTAAATATTATCAAAATTCGAATTATATTCAAATTTAAAATGCATAATTTCAGTTAGGGTGAAGAAAAGCTTTTGGATTCTCTCCTGAGGCCACAAGAGGGCGCATTGTGCAAAATATTACTAATGCACGTTTATTCAAAGCATAATATAACATGACTATCTGTGAAAATAAGTGCATAATGTTTAAAATAATGTTTATAAACCAATTATACTTAAGTTGCTTAAACCAGAGGTCCCCAACCACCGGGTCGCCACCCACTACCGGGCCGTGGAAGAATTGCTACTGGGTCGTAAGAACGTTCTGGGAAAAAAGTGTATAGATATGACACTCTGTTATTTATTTATGTTAATGATTGTTCTAATTATTCTGTATTTCCTTTGTATGCGATTGATATGGAGTAGCAATCTGACAATTTCATGTTAAATAATAAATGAAAGATTGCTCTGATCGGTCACACACATATTAGGAGTTAAACGGATTTAATTGGTTTAATGGTTGACTCCTTAATACGTATGGATGAGACCGTTCGGCACCCACGTGATTCACAGATTAATTTGCCAATTAACACGTACAAGCAATTTTAAACCACAAGAAGAAGAAACGAAAGAGAGCTCAATTCGTTACTCACGCGCTGTTCTCGCACACAATCATAGCGCACATAAAAGACGTGTTTCAGACAGCGTATACATACACAAAAAAATTTGCCTATGTCAAAAACCCTTCACGGCATTGTCATTCTCTGTGCTTTAAATATTTTTTTTCTTGATTATCCGAAAAAATAGTCCAATCTGTGACTCAAACCCCCCCCCACAATATAATGCGTTGAACCACTATATAATGCTATTATAATACTATATAATAGCCTAATAGCTATATGCCCCCCCGTCCAGAATAGTTTCCAAACGTAACAGGTCCGTGGTGTAAAAAAGGCTGGAGACCCCTGGCTTAAACAATAAACAAAACAGCATCATGTATGTATGCATAGTTTAATACAAAGGGTCGAAAGCCAATCACACAGAGTAAATTTTTCATTTAAAAACACGAGTTGCAGTGGGATGGGGAAAAAACCCCACCATAAAATCTCGAGATATGTTTTTTCAAAATTGAACTTGCATTCATTTTACATGGCTTTCTAAACATGCGGCTCTTTTGTGCGAGACGCGAGTGAAACGGTGATAGATGTCCCTCTAGAAAATGCGTGAAATATGCTTTCTGTGTGAACGGCTTTGTTTCAGTTTTGACGTAAACAAGATCTTCTCCGCATTGATGTTCTCTTTTCCCGCAATATTTGTAAATTAACAACAAATAACTAACAATATTAGTAATTGATTAGCTTGTTCAGGTGTGTTTGATTAGGGTTGGAGCTGAACTCTGCAGGACTGCGGCTCTCTAGGACCGAACTTGCCTACCCCTGGGATAGGCTAACAAAAACGTTATAATGCAACGACACATATCGTCATTGCATCTCGTGCGCCACTGATAAGGCTGCCTCCTTAACGCACACCTAAAATTCGAATGCAACGTTTTTGCATTCAAATGTGGATTTTTATTTTAAATTCGACGAATATTCGAAATTTGAAAAAAAAATTGACAGCCCTATTGGTTGTTTTTTCTACTGGGACTGTTTCACCTGGCGAGCACTGTAAATAAATCATCATTTTTCACTAAACATCTCTGTGAGTACTGCCATCATTTTGGGGGGATTTTTTGATTTTTTTTGTCAACTTTTTGGTGTGGGTGAACCCTTTCGCCTGACAACGGGCCTGCGAAGACCTGTTGTCTCACACCTGTAAAGTGCATAAACCTTTAATTTGACATTTTTAATTTGACATTGTTATTACAAAGTGTACATTTTAGAAGTTTACTTAAGTGTTTTTTCTTTCAAATAGAGAGCATACTTTAAGTGCACTTAAAATATAAGTGGCCTTTTATTTACTTAATATAAAAAATTTTTAACAATGCAGTTTCAAGAATATAATTAAGCAGACTTCTTTTTCACAAGGATAGGCATTCCCATCCACTTTCCAGAGTTGTAACCTCTTTGAGTTTGAGACAGTGGGACAGCCAGATGATTTGCTCTAGATTTAATCTTTAAAGGAAATAAAAAGTGCACTCCATCCATTCAACACCCTCAAGGCACTTTGGTAAATATTCAGCTTGAAAAAAAAGACATTTAGGCCGAACAGGCCTTCCAAAGCTGCCTCACACCAACTAGAATTTACATTTTTTCAATCCTCACTGCTGACAGTCTATGAATTGTTAAGTATATGCCACCCAGATTTTAGAAGTCATTAAATGAAACCAATAGTTTATAAAGTACTATTTAAAAAAACACAGAGTGATTTGATAGCCACTGAAAACTATAAGCTATAAACATTGCAACTATAAGCACTGTAACTATGTAAATTATTGTGTAGACATGGTCACAATGCAAACAGAGATTCCTTAAATTTATGCAAAATTGAATTTCATGTTGCTTATAAATGTGCTGACATAAACTTGCCATCTACCACATCCCTTGATTTCTAAATCAATACCTATCAGATCACACAGAGATTTCAATGTTTGGCTCTGTTTTTTGAATTGCTGCCTGGTTTGCTCTTTCACCCTGGGAATCTAATTTCACTCAGTCTGTGGTATGAAATCCTGAGACCGTCAACCACAAAACCTTAATTAAAGCAATTATGCAGAAAACAAGCGAGGGTTCAGAGTTTTGGCAGAATCGTACACACAGTACAAAGCATCATGCAAAACCCCCTTTGAATTGAGATTTGTTGTGGTATGTAGCTGACTCCTTTTTATTTATTAAAAACATATTAAAAATGTATTTTTGTCAGATGTAGCAGAACATAATGACTATATGAGATGATATGCTCAACTACCTTCTCAGTGACTAAGAATATCTTTCAGGTTATGACTAAATATGTTATCCTACCTTCTTGGTCATCTTCTGAAGATGGTGTCTCAAGGCTACAGGCTGGAGATCTGTCTGAGAGACTCTGCTGTAATGTGATGTGAACCACCAGAAGCCTGCGCAGACTAATCAGATCAGAGTTTATCAGGCCCTGCTCCAGCTGTCGGAGGACTGTCTGTCCTGGCTGACAGGTTAATACCGTCACCTTTAAAAAAATGTAAATTCATCAGCATTAGTATGCAAGTCAAAATTAGCTCAGCAGGCATTCCTGTTTGTAATAATTCACTTTATAGTTTATCAACCCTGTTTTTGGTAAATGAATTCAAGATTTCAACAGCCAACAGAAAGCGATTTTTAGAAGATACGCTACATTTGTTTCTCTGTAAATCACAAGTCATGTCATAATTCTGCTGACATTTTCAAACAATACTGACACAGAGTACCCATAAGGCCTCAAAGCCAATGCACTGTAATGTCCCAGCTTTTATGACTGCACGGATGAAAACTGATTATGGTAATTAGCTGTCTCTCTTGTTGATATTCCAACTCAGAAAGTGAGGGAGAGATTTCTCACAAACTACAGTACAAAAACATCTTTCTCTGTGGCTTAATTGTGTGAAGAATGAGACTGTAGAACATATTTAAGGATACAAATATATCAGTCATCAAAGCTGTGCCCTGTACCACAGAAATAACTTGTACAAATCAGTGCTACATGATCTGTCTCATATTTGAACAGAGAGTCACAAAGAGAGTGCTACAATCACATACATCAAAGCTTCTGTGTTCCTCTCATCTTACGATAGACATCTGTGGCATAATTACAATAGCACTGTTGTATCTACAGTCGTGGTCAGAATTATTGGCACCCTTGGTAAATATGATCAAAGAAGGCTGTGAAAATAAATCTGCATTGTTAATCATTTTGATCTTTTATTTAAAAAATTCACATAAATCTAACCTTTCATTGGAGAATAAGAATTTCAAATGGGGGGAAATATCATAATGACATAAATGTTTTTCTCTAATACACATTGAAGTCACTTTCTAATTTGTGAAGCTCAATTATCTTTTTCTGCACATCAGAAATATATTCTTTGGTTTTTCTCATTGTGATGGATGATTAAAGGAATTTGGCCTTTGTTTTCCCTCCTATTTATATTCCTGTGAAACAGGAAGCCATGGCTGGATAATTTCATGTTCATAATCACACTGGTATGCTCAAATTTGTAAATATGAATGGGAATATACTTCCCAGATATTTTACTCATAAGAATTTCTAGGGGTGCCAATAATTGTGTCCAATGTGTATTTAAGAAAAACGTTTATTTCATAATGAGATTTTCCCCCATTTTCAATTGTTTCAGTTCAATGAAACGTTAGATATTTGTGAATTTTTTTTAAATAAAAGATCAAAATGATTAACAACGCAAATTTATTTTCACAGTCTTCTTTGATCATATTTTCCAAGGGTGCCAATAATTCTGACCACGACTGTATGTCACTGCAAAGTGAGACCAAACCCATATAACACCATATAATCCCATTTAGGACACAAAAAATATTCTGTATAATCTGATTAAATGCACTTGTCCTCTGCTGTGCTTCCTGTGGGGGGACATTAGTGCTGGGTTTTAATGGAGCCTGCTGAGAGGAGAGTGGCTGCTGAGGGCCATGTGGTCTGTGATAGTGCGCCAACATCTTCATTCAAGGCTGATAGTAGAGGGTAAATGAGCTTTGGATTCACTGGTCGGAAATCTGAATGTGAATGCCTGCACTTTGAAAAAACTCAATACAGATGAGACAATTTCTTTACTTGTGATGTGAGGTTTAAACATAGCAGTGGGCTGAATCATTCTAAAATTAAGACAGGGGGCAGATGCATAGATTGAAAGGCAGTGAATGCTGATCTAAAGGATGAATTACCAGGGCAGGTCTTCATTAAGACAGATTACTGGGTACAAAAATTAAGACATTTATGAGTAAATATCAAAAGACCCAAACATCGGGACATTACTTTCAGGACAGATGACCACATTTTACTCCCCAATTCTCATTAGTATAATGCAATTGGTAATGTTTTTTAATGATTCTCATTACTGTAATACATAGGGCCCTATGAAATCAGTTTTGTTTTATTTCCCCATATTCCATATTATTATTATTTTTCCCAAATGTGATGTTTTCATTTTTCTGGATTCCATTTTTAATGGTTTAAATTCATTTTAATGAACAAAAATGATGTCTAATCAAATTCATAACATTTTAACAATAATAGGGTTCTATGACATTTTTATTTTATTTTGTTTTGCATTTTATTTTGTCAGAAATTCTGTGTTGTCTGTTTTATTTATTCTGTATTCTGTGTTTTATGATTTTATTCAAATCTATTATTAAAAATGGTGGCATCCAGTTACTCTTTTAAAATGTATTTCATGTAATTAAATTAAATGAACTATTCCTTTTATTTTTTTGTCAAACACCAACATAACAGCCTAGTGGGTAGTGCGCAGACATATAATGCTGTAGCGTTATGGGTGTCCCAAGTTCGAATCCTGGCTAAAGGACCTTTCTTGATCCCACCCACCTCTCTCTCCCACTTTGCTTTGCTTACTACTCTACACTGTCCCATTGTAATAAAGGCAAAACAACATAAAACAGGTTTACAGTTTAAATTAAATTTAGAAGGCACAAGACTCGTGTAACAGTGTGTGATGATCCTTAAAAAACTGTATTATTATTATTATTATTATTATTTTAAAAGGTACATTCTACTGTACAATAGTACTATATTTCTGTCATAATTTCTTCAAGTTAAAACTTTTATTTTGGACAGCCTGAGGTTTCTTTTTTAAATGTTAAAGCGGTATGATGGTTTGTGGACAATATAATAATGAAATAACCACATTTAGCCACTTGTTAAGCCCAAAGTTCACTGTTTTTTTTATGCATATATGTCAGTGTTTCCAACCATGTTTCTGAAGCCCCCTCAACACTGCACGTTTTGCATGTCTCCTTATGCCATGATTTTAGCCCTGATTTCACTCAGAGAGTTTTGTTTTCTTTGGTGGACCTGTCTGTGAGTCGGTCTCAGAGTCCTGTGGATATTTATATTTTGTGGATATTTTGACCTATTGAAAATATCAACTGACTTCAGGATGATGTAACCGGAAGAGCTAAAATGCTAACTTCCTACAGTACTCTACTGAGAAATTATGTTTACATGACATTTAGCATTAACAGAAAGTTGTTTAAGCTGACATCAGTATATAGCCTACTGTGTGAAACCACAGCCACCACCGTTTGGCTGTGTAGGTATTTGACTACAAGGTGGAGACAGAAAACAGTCATTGTGTACATTTGTGCACATGTTTGTTACTGTATGTGGCATGCTTAGTGTGTGGGCGAGCAGCCTAGAATTAATTTAAAACACATTTGAGCTCACATCAGTGAATCAGGCAGGTCCCTCCTACCCTCAAGATGGATCCATGCCCACTGAACTGTCAGCACGGGAAGCGCTACGCTGGCAGATGGCTGGCGAGAATGAACAAGCACAATGGCCAAGCAGTTGGGTGAGCGGTGCATGACAAAACCACAGTAAAGTCTTACCGATCAGCCCTTAAACAGCGGAAAACACAGTGTGAAAAACAGCTAGAATACAGTGAAAATGTTTTTTTTTATAAAAACCAGAAATAGAGACATTTCAGAAATTACAGGATGGAGGTTTTCTGCCTGCATTATATATATTCAAAAATGTATCAAAAACTGATATGTTATTGAGGTAATAATTTATCAAAAAATTACATTTTCATTATTTACTATGACACTGTAAGCTATTGTCATTTTCTATGACTCATTATTGTTCAGCATAAATCTTGTGAAATCTAACAATTTATCCACACTGTATGGGTCAATGATATTTAAGAGTGTCCATGATAATGAATTGCACCCCTTTTATTCATGGTATTTTTTTTTACATTTTTAAGAAAGTTTTTTTTCTATAAATAGTATTAAATCATAAATATAATTTTATATAGGAAATAATATTTACATTTATATAAAGTATTTATATACATTTTTGGGGAATGGAGGGTCACACCTCACAACATTTTACAACCTAAATAAGTGTCAACATGAATTTTAAATCATCCCAAACCTGTGTGAAAAAAATCTTTTTAAGTAGGCCTATTTTACAGTGAAATCACATGTACATTATATGTATTGTGAAACTTTTTTTAATTTAGTTTTTCTTTTACCGTATATTGTAGGGTAACGGGCCAACGGAGGTGGAAAGTAACGAATTACATTTACTCGCGTTACTGTAATTGAGTAGCTTTTTTGTGTACTTCTACTTTTTTAAAGGGGTCATATGATGCTTTTTTTTAAAGATCATTATTTTGTGTATTTGGTGTAACAGAATATTTTGACATGCTTTAATGTTCAAAAAACACTTTATTTTTCAATTACTGTACATTATTGTAGGTCCTCTATGCCCCGCCTCTCTCAAACGCTTCGTTTTCTACAAAGTCCCTCCTTCCGACAAGCGGCAGTCTGCTCTGATTGGCCAGCTGACCCAGTGTATTGTGATTGGCCGAACACCGCAAGCACTCGTGGGCAATGTAACGTCCCTTACCATAATCGCGAGCTTCAGCTTTCAAAGTAAATGTAAAGACAGAACCAGAAAGGAGAACAGAGTCTCGTGACAGACACAGTGATGAAGCTAGTATGTGTTTGCAGTACACAAGCCACGGTTATGACAGCTGACTTCACTGTGATGTGACCCTGTCTCTCTCTCTCTCTCTCTCTCTCTCGCTCTCTCTCTCTCTCTCTCTCTCGCGTGCGCGCGCACACACACACGATGCGCAAAACTCCACATTTGAACAGTCAATAGCAAATACTTAAACTAATAACAAAACAGTAGCTGATTCAGAAGCGCAAGATTACCATAGCAAAGTCAAAATTACCTCCTCTCCTAGGTTCACGAAACAGTCGTCCATAAAACGCATTGCTGTTCTGTTGTAAGTGATCTTAAAGATTCCTAAATGCATCTACTTTCGGAAGGCCAAATAAAGTGCTTTTGCTTTCGCCTAGAAACACACAGCGTCTCCCTGACATGGCTGCTTCAACACTAACTGCGGTTACTGAAACCACGCCTTCTTTCTTTGCGTGAACATTTGGGCGGCATTATGCAAATATTTCCACATAGTGAGGTAGATATGTGGGGGCGTGTTAGAACGAGCCGTTTTAGGGGGGCGTGGCAGAGTCTTAACTTTGACAAAGAATATCTCTTTGGTTTTGAGACTTTAGTCTTTGCAACTTCAGGGATCTTATCTATGCACAATCAGCTTGTAACACTCCAAAGAGAAAGGAAAACTTGAAATCGCATCATATGACCCCTTTAATATGAAATTCAAAGAGTGTGACAATTAGATTAGACTGTGCAAAAATCGAAATCTACACGCTAATACACACTATACTTATAGTCACTAATGCTGATGTTGTTAACATGAATCATTTGAGAATAATGTATAACAATAATAATAATTTGAATGGTTTGATGTGATATGAGCTAACCGATCTTTAGATTTAATCACCATTGGTAGCCAGATTTACGGTAATGCTTTTTTCCTCAGTTGGTCATAATAAACGTGGCAGACTTGTTACTTACTTGTTCAGATGGCAATATACGGTGAAAATTCTTATTTGGGTCATATTCCAAGACGTAGGCTATAATCTGTGATTGTGAAGAACACTAAATATCCATTCCACACCGGTGCGGTGACTGACTGCCACACATACTCTTCAGAACATTAGATTCATCCGTGCTGGGGCCATGCCTACTCACAACCCACGCAAGCTAGATAATTCCGCACCCAACTTCCAAGTTTTCAAACAGAGATGGCGACAAAGAGGCCAAACTTACGGACTGCAGCTTTAACTATACAGAAAATATAAATTTCACTCTCGCAATTCCAAAAAATAAAAGGGTCCTACTAGTAGATTTCTTTTTACAAAATGCAAATGTTTTTTTTTTTTTATGTTTGGCGTAAAATGTGCCCAAATATGACTTTTTCATGAGATTCATCTATATTTAATTAAAAAATAAATGTCTTTGGTGAACATGCCAAAATAATTTTCTTTACAGATAAAGAATTGAAAGTAGTGTTGCTTTTGTCAACGAAAATTATGACTAAATATCGTCATCAACGAACCTTTATCATGTGACGAAAACGAGACGAGACGAAAATGCTGGTCATGTGACGATGACTATAATTAAATGTATAATGCAATATCGTTGACGAATAAAAACGAGACTAAATGTGGTTTACAAAATAAAAACTATGCTAAAATGACTCTTCATTTTCGTTGACCAAAACGAGACGAAACAAAATGTTATAACGTTATTTCGTCTCGTTTAGTTACGTTATTATTATTATTTTGCAGTATTTCTGCTTCCTGTGTCTCGGCTTCAGGGGCTGCATCAGGTCGCACTGCACAGACGCAGGCGACGTCACTTCCTAAAGCCCCACTCGCGGCATAATTTAGAACAGTGTTTCTCAACCGAGGTGCCGCGTCTGTCGAGAGCAGCTATTATATAATATCCATTTGTAATGTCGCCAATAATTAGAGATGCACTGAAATTCCGGATGCCGAAAATTAGTTCACCGCTCAGGATTCACTTTCACGTGGTGTGACGCTCTGCATGTTATCCCGCTCTATGCGTGTGTGTATTATCCCGCTCTATGTGTGCGCTCCGCTCAGTCGCTCATGGCCCATGTGAGTGCTCCACTCATATACCGTTCATGCTCATCGGAACAGCAAAGTCCACTCAGAAATTAAGCTGACAGGAAACATCGATGTAGTACAGTATTGTTTCTGTTTGCAATAGCCCTACTGTGCTGTAACAA